CCGACACGAGGGCGGCCATTGGAATATCGTCGGCCGTACTAGGTTTTTTTGGGGGGGGGGGAGGACTTCTGGAAAGTCGTCGGCCAGGCTCGTCGGGAGTCGGAGACGGGCGGCTCGTCGTCTGCCCCGCGCCGGCCCCGCCGTCGCCCTCCAGCGGCCACGCCATCCCCAAGCTCCCTCCACCGTCCGATACCCACGCTCGCCGGGCCCGCCGACCCTCCCGCCGGAGCAGTTCGTGTTGCGCGAGGACGGCGACCCTGACGACTGCCCCGTCTACCTCATCGCCCTACGGGCGTCGCAGGCAGAAGCGGCGGCCGCGGAGGCTAGAGAGGCCACGGAGCTGTAGGAGGCACTGGACGCCACGACGGCTATGGCGGCGGCAGCAGAGGCCGCTCATGTGCAGGCGGCGTTGGATGCGGCGACGGCTATGGGTGCGGTGCAGGCGCCGGCGCAGGCGGCTCCGGTGGAGGACGACGCCGTCAAGAGCAGCGATGATGACGACGGTGACAGCGGTGCGGGCGAGATCATGGACCTCGCCGCCTCCGACGACGAGTAGATTATGTTTAGATTAGGTCCTCTTATGTTTAATTAATTTAGATTAGGTCCTCTTATGTTTAATTAAGTTTCGTTATGTTCGAATGTAAAATGAACCGTTTGTCATAATATTTAATGAACTATCCTTATGTTCGAATGAATTTTGGATGAAAATTATTATGAAATATTCTAAAAATGTTTCTGAATTTTGAATCATTTTATAAAATAAAAGTAAGCCAAAAGAAATTTAAATTTAAATTTTGCCTGGAAAATCGAAAGAAAAATAAAAATGATATAAAAGAAAAGAAAAGAAGAGACGAAGAAAGGAAGAGGAAAAAACAAAATTAGAAGGGGGAAATCGTAAATTATTTTGGAAAAGTTAGTACGAAATAATTTTGATTAATAACAGTGTTTTGGATTGCCGGCGGCAAAAACCGTAGAAAATGCAAACAGTCCCAAAATGCACCGAAAATTGGCAAGCATAATTCTCATATAGATAGAAGGCCGTGACGGGTGTGACGTACGCGGGCAGGCATACGACGACGCGCGGGTCGTCAGGTGGGTATTCCTATACCTAATGTGA